GAGAGTAGATCCCTTCTGGGGAAAGATTGCTTCCTGTAGTCGTTTGCTTGTCCCTGAGGAGCTTCTTTGATATCGTTTGTCGTCTTCTGACGAATTGTTCGATCACGGGGAACGAGAGAGGGAACTGACTAGGGAAGTCCTCTTCATCTGCAGCCATGAGCTCATCAATCTCGCTGGCGTCCATCGTTTCTGAAGAACCGTCGTTGTTGGAGATGTTAAGCTTCGACAACGCATCAGCGACGATGTTCTCTTCGCCTTAAGATGTACCGTAGTTAAGGGCCGTATTTTTCCAGAATAAGGAGCCATGGCATTACGCGATCGGTATTGAAGTTCTTGCATGTGAAGATTCTTTGTGGTCCGTATGCACAACGATCCTTCTGTGCTAGAAGAATGTTACGGAACTCTTTAGAGTTTCTACGATAATGAGAAGTTCCTTCCCGGTAACTGTGTAACGTGTCTGACCAGGGTTGAGCTTCCTGCTGTAGAACGCGATAGGTTTTCCTTCTGGGAAATTACTGCACTTAGTTGAGTATCACTCACACCCGTGTGGATAACGAATGTATCGTTGAATTCAGGGTAGGCGTGCATGGTTTCTTTGCTGATGATCTTCTTTATCTGGCTAGAGGCCTTGTCGTGTTCGGCTTCCCATTTCCTCTTCGTGTTTTTGGAAGTCAACGAAGCGAGTGGGGCCAGTACATGTGACCGTCTAATCCACATGTCTCGATATTAGTTCACTAGTCCAATGAATCTTACGGAGTTCCTTTCTTGTTGGTAGGAGGAGCGAAATTCTTGATCGCGTCTATTTTCTTGGTTATAGGTTGGATCCCTACTCGAGTAATCCAGTAACCTCTAGGTACTCAAGTTCTCCTCTTTGCGAAGAAGGACTTGTTAGCATTGATCTTAAGTCGGGCTTCTCGAAGCCTTCGGATATCTTCATCCAACTTTTCAACGTGAAATCTGGCTAGATCGCCGTTATGTAGGATGAGTAGATCATCAATGTATACACGGACGTATTCTAGGTCGTGCATCAGTGTTCCCATCTCCTCTTGGAAGATGTCGGGACTATTACATAGCCCCATTGGCAACCTCTGGTACTCGTACTTTCCCACGGGAGTACGAGGTTACAGAGTTGCTTCGAGTGAGTGACAGCTCGATGTGATAGTATCCCCATGTTCAGGTCTAGACTAGTAGCGTACTGGAATCCGTCGCTAGGTTCAAGAGCATGTCCTGTATTTTTGGGATAGGATACGGCTTCCGCTTAATCCTTTTGTTCAGTTCCGGAAATTCAGAGATGAATCGTAAAGATCAATCTTTCTTGGGAATGATAAGAGTTGGTGCTGCCCACTCTGAACGGTTTCCTTTCTTGAGTACTCCTGCTTCGCAGGGAGCGTTCAACCTCATTTCTTAAGAGTTTGGTATGACACCGTGGATTAGGGTAAGCCTCTGGTTATAGGGTTTAGCATCAGGGAGAAATTCTACTTATTAGTCCGTCCATCTGCCATCTTTCCTAGAAGTGCACATACGAATGGTCAGAGTACTTACGTCGTTAAGGAATGAAGCTTTTCTTGCTCTTCCGTTATTCAATTGTTTCTGACTTGGGCAAACTGCTTATAGTCAGCTTGTTCGTATTACGTATCAAGAATTTCTTGAGACGATCTCGCACTGTCATCAACAGTGGTAGGATCAGGAATGAAAAAGTTTTCTTCTTCATTGGCTGTCGCTATGTTTCATAGGCAATAGATAGCCCGTCCCACATCACTGACATGGTAGTGAAAATCGAACTTTAAACTTAGGTCGAGGAGAATGTCTCGACCTATGTATCATGTCATACGCCCCAAGCTCTTTGTGACGTGTAAATCCCCATTCGATATATTCTATCTTCGTGAATTCAGGATATCTTAGAATCCACCTTTGACTTCGTGCTGGTGTTTAAGGTCTCCTGCAGGGGTAGTCACATCGTTTGTACGCCCCCAAGATCCTTCGTGCGTATTTTCTTAGCATGAGGTTGAGCAATCAAGGTTCACGATGCTCCTGTATCCAGTTTTTTTTTAAAAGCCAAAAACGGAAAAGGGGTTCTGGGTAAAGCGGGTTTGGTTCCTCTTTTTCTGCGCTTGTTAAAATCTAATCATAAGACGATAGGTTTTGAGGTCTCTTGTCTTGCGACGTTACGAGGTGGTTGGCACGGACGAGGTTAACATGTGAATAGATCGATCAGAGTTCTAGTTGAGTCAGCTTCTATTGCAAATCATCTAATTTGCCGTAACTTTCATCAGTTGCAAAAACATTCTTGTTTAATATGTTAAGGAGTATATCTTCATCACTTGGTATGAGAAATCGTAACATGGTTCCCGTTGAGTTATCATCCTGGCCTAATCTCAGATAGAGATTTACTCATCCAAGTGATTGAATATTGATAGAGGAGTTGTCCTCAATTGTCAGATCTTCTGATTTGCGGTTGGAACATGGTTTGCGAAGTTTGCAAGTGGTTGCACGAGTATCGTCGATCTCGTTTTTCTGTCATTTGTCGAAGAGAAGGAAGAATGGGTTTGTCCACGCAACTGTTCTCGAAGTTGCGAACGTATTGTTTCCTTGAGCCATCTTATGTGTGAAGGAATAGGTTGAGGGTGCTGGAAGCTATTGTGTTTGTTAACAAATGCACTACGCTAAAAGCTAGGTAAAGATCTTTCGAGTGTTTTGGTTTGAGAAGAATGAAAGTTATGAGAGAGATTAGAAACTATGAAAACTAATCAACGAGAGAGATCATCATCGAGGATCGTAGATTGGCTTCCCGCGGGAGACTATAAAGTGTAATAGACAGTGTTGCTGGTATAATGCTACGTCCTCCACGATCCTAAAAACGGAACGCGTGAAGGTGTCTAGCTGATCTATAGCGTGGAAGTACTCCACGCTGGCTAAAATATCTAGAGCGATGTTCATCATCAACCTAGTTATGACTAGCGCGGTCATTGAGAACCCTGTCTCAAATGACTAATTCACGAGAGACTCAGTCATGAGTCGAACTCAAACCCTATCTAGGATCGAGTCGCGAATAAGGCTAAGAGCCGTGTATTGCAAAAGCTTCGTCCAGGTCTTAGCAGACATTTCTCTACTCCACTCCAGTGTCTTGCTGTGACAGCTGGTTTGAATGAGGACTTTGTCGCAAGACTTGCTCGCAATTCCAACCAGTATTGTCATGAGAAGATTCTTCCAGAGAAGACCAATCGCTATTTCCATGGTTTACAGTGGGACGACATTTCCATAACTGAGATGTACCACTTCTTAGGCATCATGTTGAAGATCTCTCTATCGCCAGTTGATGGGGGTGGCTACACGGCTTATTTCAGTCCTGAAGAGCGTCCAATCAGGTTTGACAGGAACATCAGACCCATCAAGATCAAAGGATCCGAAGGCTTTGCCGGAAGCATCATGACATTGAGTCGCTTTCGCCAAATTCGTGCTGCGTTTCATCCAGAGAAGAAGGTGCCAAATGACACTGACAAGTGCTACCAGCTTCGCCATGCCATTACTACATTCAATGAACATGCCAAGTCTACCTTTACGGTTGGAAGAGATCTATGTTTCGATGAGGGTGGAATCGCGACAAGGTCCAGGTTCTGTCCAGTGCGCCAGTACAATTCGAAGAAACCAAAGAAATTCAGAGTAGATCTATTCATCTGCTCCTGTTCCGATAGCTATTGCATCTTTCACTTGGATGTTTACCAAGGAAAGAATCCTACTGAAGTGGGCATACATGAAGACCTCATCGGCTTGCCAACAACGCAGAAGGCTCCCATGAACGCCATGTACAGTCTTGGACTACACCTTGACACGCAAGCTACCCCGCGTCATATGGCATTGGACAATCGGTACATGTGCCCTGAGCTTGCTGTTCTTTTACGGGAGAAGGTCAATGTCTACGCAACAGGCACAGTGAAGGCTGGATGCAAAGGTTGGCCAAAACTGCTAATGAGTCTTCAGAAAACAGCGGATCGCGGAAGCTACAAGATTGCAGTCGACAAAACAAACAATGTGGTCGTGATGCATTGGAGAGACTCTCGTGTGGTGAATATGGTCACAACTCTTGGTGACACGACAATACGCAAGGTCAAAAGGCAACTCGGTTCAAAGGCAGCACTGTTTGATTGTCCTGGCCCTATGACAAAGTACCAGAAAACTATGTTTGGCGTTGACAAAGGTGATCAAATTCGCGTTCATGGAGGTGGCTTTGCGAATAAAGCCCACTTCAAGAAGTTGTACAAGAAGATCTATCTGGGTCTCCTCGACTGTTATTTATTGAATGCTTTGATTGCCTGGAACCTTGCAGCAAAGGAACCTCGGTCATCGAAGAAAACGCTGCTAAGACACCAATTCTTCACTGTTATTGCTGAAGAGATGATGTGCTACGAGGAGGGCGCAGGTACCAGTGACCTTGTGGGCAATATTGCTGCGAATCTCGACAACCAGTTTCAGTGAGCCGACAACAAACCAAAACACTTCCCGGTATTACCTGCCAAGGGCAGTAGGAATCTACGTTGTGCTGTCTGCAACCTCGAACGAAACATGAACAAGGGAATCGGACAAGCAGGGCTTGCAAAGAACATTGTTCTATGCTCCGCTTGCCCCATTCCTGCTCACAATCATGTAGTTTCAAATGACCCAATGCGTATCATCCATAAACGCCCTGAATTTGCCAACAAAACTTGCTTCCAGATCATTCATTCCGACCATGGCCGCGAGCTCTGGAAAGTGACCAATGGCAGCATCAACCCTTGGCGGCCAATGCAATCCCATCCAATCTACAAAGATTTGCTAGAACCAAGGAATTCGTGTGCGCAAAAGAAAGAAACGTTCAGGAGATGAGAACGAAACAGAGAACGATGACGAAGATCTATTTCAGGATGACGCCACTGAAGACTAAGTAATATGCCCCACCTAGTAAACGTAAAAGAAATGCTTGTTCTTGTAATATTCGTTGCTACTATTTTGTTATCGTTCTACTCGCTAAATTGTTCTCGCTGTCCTACATCCTACTGTCCTACTGCTATAGCTTCTCCTAAATGGCCATGGGTTTCTTGTTCTTGTTTTCGTTGTCGTCATCCTTGAATTTACCACTGGTGCGAGCCTTCTTTTTCTTCCTAATTGGCGATTCAGGCCAGACCTGGCTGCAATGCATTGGCTCAGCTTCTGCCGCGGCAGCGGCAGCGGGGGGAGGAGTGTTGCAGTGATCTTCGTCATTGTCGAATTTGTCAGAGTCATCACTGGCAAGGGCAAGAAGCTTTTTCTCTCGACGATGCACCTTGTTCGCTTTTTCTGTGCCAAGGTCGTGGAAGCCCACGTACGATTTTCCGTCAGGGGCAGGATAGTGGTGGCGAATGAACTTGATGAAGCAATGAGGTAGTTTCTGACGGATACCCTTTCCAACTACACCTTTCCAAATGCGAAAGGATTCGCGGTACAACCTGTAACGGATTTCATGTGGAAGAAGTCCATCGTGGATGCACTCCCCGCCAATCTCAAGCAGGACATCCCCATGACTCACCATCTGGCAAGGAACACAAAAACAAAAGCCGCAAATTTCATCATCAGACTCCTCATCACCAGACTCATCGAAGACATCTGGGTCTACCTGGGTGGCTGTCACCTCAACAAGCTCATCTAGACGCTCCTCGTTTTCTGTCTCATCTTGTTTCCACGCCATCTCGTTCATCACGTCATCGTAGTATTTTTCACTTTCTTCAACAGCTTTTTTGGTACCCTTGTTCCAACTCCGAGTTGAGCTCATCTTTTAAAAAAGATGTACTTTGCCCCGTTTTTCCTTTTAAAAAAATAGGGAAAGCTCTTTAAAAACTCTAATCAGATTCAGACGATCTAACTCGGCGTTAATGGCATCCATTACCTTTTGCGCCGTCACCTCCTTTATGCGATCTATGTTGTTGTTGTCAGTGAGATCATGATCGCTGTTGTCGTTTTGCTTTGCCCTGGGCCAGCAGAAGAGCCCATTAATTTTGTTGTCCATGTTTTGGGTCATCCTCGTTGATTGAACTGGAAGGCACCAGGTTTCAGCGAGGATACACATGCAAAAAGCTTCAAAGTGGTGGTAGTCGCGATAGTCGTGATAGTCCTGGTAAATAGTCGTTGTTAAGTCGCGGTGCGCGACTATGGCGACTTTTATAGTCGTTCTAAAGTCGCGGTGCATTACTAGTAAATAACACGGAGAAGTCGCGCTTAAGTCGCGGTGCGCGACTATCGCGACTTTTATAGTCGTTCTAAAGTCGCGGTGCGCGACTTTCGCGACTACCGCGACTTTGAAAGATTTAAGCCGAATTCAACCGTAAACCTGGAGCCTTCCTGAGGACTGGAAACCTATTTACTGAGTAGTCGTGTTTCGAACGCTTAAAACGTCGCGCCGTAAACAAACGTTATCCAAACTTGCATGCTTTCAGCGTGGGAACTTTTAATTAAGGATGTCCCACGGGGGATACAGTGCGTTTTAGTTTTAAGATTATATTTGCTCACTTTTTCGACAGCTCTCCAAATAGATAAACTTTTCATTAGCTCTTATATCCACCCTATGATTTCGTGGGAATTTGGAACTTCCGACCTCCTCATTCCATCCTCGAAGCATGTCTCGCCATTCACCTCCGCTGAAATGT